CCCACCTGCACTCCCAAGCTGCGCCATCATCATCATCATCATCATCATCATCATTCTTCAGGTGGTTGCCCGTGCCGAAGCGACGGTAATGGCTACAGCAACAAACAACAGCGTAACAACAGTTTTGGAGCCAGAGGGACAAAAGTTTTGGAGATCCCTGAACCACGAGATGTCACGAGCCCTGCGTCTGAGACGTGACATGCTGCCCTGCTCTGCGACTTGCGGACATGTTGCACACACGTACGACTGCGAGCGGAGCATGTACAGCAGAATGAACTTCGAGCCTCCGCATCACGTGCCTGCCTTGCCAGCAGCCGCCAAAGCAGGAAGGCCTCCTGAATTGAGAACTTGGAACGGTCCATGAGAATCCCCCAGTCACCACAAGTATTAGTCGTATAGTCCCCAAGGTCGCCCTATAGGGGTCCTGGACAGGAGGCCGCGGCGGCTGGCGCGCGAGGAAGGCCAGCCCGCTCCGTCTGAGCACGCGAAAGGCTCGCACGTGGCCCCGCCAGCGGCCCAAAGCGCTGAGCAAAAGGAGACCGTCGGCTTCGCGACCCAGCGACGAGCAACGCCGCTCCAAGGCCTTCACAAGAGCCCGTTCTCAAAGCTCTCTCTATATATGAATCGAGGTAGGAGTGTGCGGAGAGCCTGGCCGCGGGTTACAGCGATGGCCAGTTCTCCTTGAAGCCTGCGAACAGATTGCATCACAACTCTTTGCAACTTTTCTCACACTTTGGCCTCCCACGGCTGTAGTGCAGCTTGCCAGCAGAAACCAGCCAATGCCAGGCTCGAAGCAGCACCAAGACCCTTAAGTGCCCAGGCAGTGCTTCAACGAAGGCTCCGTCCGGCCCCACCATCTTTTTCAGACCGGAGCTTTTCTTAAGTCAAGGTGCAAAGAGCAGCGAAAAGCACCGCGCAAGGCCTCCCAGGACAGGTCTGAGACTTCGCGGGCTCAGACGCGTAGTTCTCACATGCCCTCTGCAGTCTACGAAGCTGATGCAGGGGCAGTTGAAAGCTCGGCGCCTCCTTCGTCCGGGCCCCGAGCCGCGCAAGCTGCGAAGCGGCGCGGAGGGCCCGGCGGTCTCAGTGATGCAGAAGGCAGGAAAGAACTCGTCGGAACAGAAAACAAAAGGAGCGAGGGAACACGCAGGAGCCGGGAAAAGCTCTTTTTTTCCTCCAAGGCGCCCAAGGAGAGCAGCAGCACGGCGCAGCGCCAGCAGTGCCAGCTGGCCGCCGCCAGGCCCCTGCTCTGCATTAGCACGGTGCGACGCGCAGGCGCAGGCAGAACCACTCCCCAAGATTCCCCAAGAGGGCACGCAGAGATTCCCCTTCGCCGGCCTCCGACTCGAGAGGAGGAGGAGCCCGAAGGAGCGGTTGGAGAGCCGCTGCTTCACCTCCGCAACCTCAAACAATTAGAGAGAGAACAAAACCTAAGTAGAATCTATAGAATTTAAAAGGGAAAGGAAGGGGGCTCGCCTTTCTGGGCCCCCGGCCTTGCTGAGGAGCACCGCCCTTCGCCAGGACTCCAGCGCAAAGACCAGCCAGGCGCGCTGATTCCGCAGAACCTGTCAAGTCTTCGGCCACATGACGAGTCGGCAGAATCGGCAGCATTAGGATTATTAGGAGCCATCAGATATCATCAGATTCAGAAGCCAGAGCCAGCTCTGGTAAGCTTCTCGGCGTGTATCCGATTTAGGAGCTTCGGCAGGCCAAAGAGCCCCCGGGGGGGGGGGGGGGGTGTTGCTTGAGAGCTGCCCATCAAATGCACCTCTCCATCTGGTGTTCTGCTTAGCTGTGAGGAAGGGGGTCGGAATACGAGGCTGTGAGGCTGGAGACGGAAAGCCTTGAAGCCGAGAGCTCCCTGCGGTCCGGCGGCCCCTTCGCTCCTCGCTCGCTGGAGCTTCCCAGCTGCAGCCAGGCGCCGCCAGCACCACAGGAGACTGGACATCGTCCTCCCCATGATTTGGCGCGAGCCAATCACGGAAACAAGGACCCTGGAACCCCCCACAGCGGGCTGTGAAAGGCTTACACCACTCAGAAGCCACCTGGCGAAAGAAGGGATCTCCAAATTCCGCGGTTCGCGGCGGAGAGCTCGGGTCTCGGTCGAGAAGCGGCTTTGGCGGTCAGACGGTCGCAAGTCTGATGCAAGCAGTCGCCAAGCCGCCGCAGGCTCTGCCAGAGTCGTGACAGGCTCCGTTACGGGCACGGGTGGCGTCCTGCCATGGGATCATGAAGAGGCACCGCATGGCATTTTTCAGTCCCCAATCCTTGCATAGGCCGTGAGCACCGGCTGAAACACGGCACCTGAGCTCCACGAGCTGCCCAGCGCGTTTGCGGAGGCCGCGGGGGAACTCTGAGCCGCCGGCTCTGTGGTCTCAGGCAGACCGGCTCTTGGAGCTCTCTTGGAGTTTCGACGCTCCGCTGGATGTTGGCGAAGACCAAGGCGCCGTGCCAGGCCTGCCTGGTTCGACAAAAAACTTTTGCGATCATACTGCAGGGGCCGAAGAACATCCGAAGACTTTATTGAACTGCAGGTGGCAGGATAGCGTAGGCCAAGTCAAATCTTCGCAGAGTGGACAGAGCATCGGCTGCTCTTGACCGCACGCCTGGCACGGAGCGTCGGGGCGCGGACTCTACGGTCGAGACCTTTTAACTTGGCCGTGCCGCGGGCCACTTCCGTGGAGCCCACCCTGCAGGTCACAAGAAGGCTGTCACAGTCGATGGCATCGAAGGACACAAAAAACAGCTCCCCGAACGCGCGGACACGCTCCGAGGCGGCGGCTGCCAGCCTGCCCAGGCCTGAAAAGGAAACTCCCCCCACCCCCAAACAAAAAAAACAAACAGAGGAGACACCACGCTGTCACTGTGGAGCCCTGTGGAAACTTCGGGGATGCTCGGGGGCTCCTTCCAGCATCTGCTCGCCGAGGCGCTGTTGAGAGCAGGTCCTTCCGCCGCCGCGTTCGGAGGAGAGCCACCAGGCGAAGGGAGGCCGCAGGGGCCCCGCCTTTCCAAAGATACCCCGGCACGGCGCGAGGACTGAGCCGGGAAGTAGCGAACGCTTTCAGTGCCTTGTTGAGACACAGCGGCTGCATGCCAGGCCCACCTGCATCCGTGCAGTTGCCACAAGGCAGACTTGCCCTTCACTGCTTGCAGAAGAGCTGCAAGTAGAGCTGCAGCCGCCAAGCGCGGAAAGCTCGCCTGAAGCGAGGACCCAAAAGCCCATCTACTCAGGTCGGTTGGATACTGATGCCAACCGCGCGGCACGTCCAGTTTCGGCTGCCGCCGTTCCCTCTGCATGGCCAAGCGCCAGTGGTTTATCACTTTCTGCTTGAGTGTGCTGGACCTGGCACAGAAAACATCGCACGCATTTTCAGAATGCCGTTACGTTCATTGTGGCGGTTCAAGGCTATCGGGAAAAACGGTGAATCGCATGGACAACAAAATCCGTGCCAGTCAGTGCAGGCCACAGGAAAAAGCAGAGAAGGGTCCCGCAGCGCAGCGCATTCTCCTCGCTCAGGCAGGATCAGTCTCCAACACAGGACAGATACCTTCATGGGACCTGGCATTGCCCCTCAGAACAACATCCGAATATGTCCCCCCGCACAGCTCCCCTCATGGACCTCTCGAAGGGATGGGTTGGCCACCTCGATTCGAGTCTCGACTCGCCTCTTACACCGGGTTCGCCAGGTGTGGAAGACATCCTCGGCTGCCCGTGACCATCACACAATCCCTAATACCGTAACCCGGATTGATGGCAAACGCCCTGATGCTCTTCTTCCAGCCTTCTGACATCTTCTGACATCGGTGACCAAAATCCGGACGTTGACTTGGAGGTTACGAGGACCGCAGCAGCATCCAAAGCGGCCGTGGAACTGCACGGACCCTTCGCTGGCTTCTCCGGCAAAGAAGGACGGCGACCTGTCCGACAGCAGCCCCACGCCTGCCCACTTAGTCTACAGCTGCGTCTGCAATCACCCCAATGCCCGCACTCAGTTCCCTTCCCGTGTCTTGCTGAAGGCTTTTCCCTACGACTAGGGCTGAGCGGGGCTCTCCAGGCCCTTTACGACCACCCCTGTGGTAATTAGGGTTCCGTGGTGCGTTGGATCGGGCTTCTCACGTGATGAACGATTGCGAAGCTGCCAAGCATCAGCATGCGAAGCTCCTCCGATGTGCGCCGCCTGGCCTCTGTACGCAACAGCTCCGCTGCCGTGCATTGCACTGACAGTTCGATGGCCAAGCTGTCCTGTGGAGTGGTGAGAACTGCTGTAATTCATAAGCTGAATCTGGCGATGCCAGCAAAGAGTATTTCATGCTAGTTGTGACGAAACCGCAAGTCTATCGCAGGCCCTGGCGCTGATCAATAAGCTTCCGCGCCCATGTTTTATTGACAGGCGGTTCGAAAATCACGCACACATCAGTGCCCGACGACCATCAGTCATCACACAGACTGAGGAAACCCCTAGATAAAGGTCAGCACTGTGTGCAGCGAGGGGGAGGCAATCCATAAACCTCTGTGGATATCTGATATGGTCATATACCGCATTAGTAACTAGTATCCTACAGTCCTACAATTCGCCCGTGCAGCAGGGTGGCGGCATGCGCTTTGAGAGCCGAGAGCTCGGAGTCAAATGGTTTGCCGACCTGCAACCTTGGTTGCAGATCTCAAAAGGCCCCCTCTCCAAGGGAATAACACTGTGTCTGCTACGTCGGCTGTGCTCTCCGTGGCCTGCATTCTTGATTTCGTCAGGACTATCCACAGAAGCCCTACAAAGACGATTGCTGTTGTCCCTGAGCCACCGAGACGACGGACGACGGTTCCGCGCCAGACCCATGGCAGGCATGGCAAGCATCCATCGGAGCTGGTTCTGAGGCTCTCAGAGAGCGTCTACACTGCTAGGAAGCTTTCCGAGGGAACATGCTGCCACGCTGCCAAGAGTCTTGCCAGAAGATGCGCAATGTTAAGCCCTAAGCTAGCGGGGGAACCTGTGCGTCGCAGCTGGGGTTGGCTGTGAGGGGGGATTCGGGATGCTGACCAGCCCAAGTGCAGCAGAAGGGGGTTGGCATGAACTTCCGGACCCCACCGAATGCTACAAAATCTGCCCGCACGAGTTGCAGCTGGCTTGCTTTTGCGCCGCAGCATGTTCAAGGCGAGTCCCCAAGCACGGCGCCCAAAAGAGGCCTAAGAGCTCTTTGAAATAATTGCGGCCTGTTTGCCGGGATTTTCGCCTGCACAGCAGACTTGCGCATGCCCACCAGCTGGCCGTTATCAAATTCGCCAGAGGCGCAGCCATCCCAGATGTGCCACCAACCCTACAAGTATCTGCAATGATCCGCACGTGCTTCACATTGATGTCAGATATCAAAATACAGAAGAGCCGATTTCGGGTCCCTTCTGTCTGGGACGTGCTCTGCCGCGCCTTCTGGGCCACCCTGTTTGCGAGGCATCGGGCCACGACTTCCGACTCGGACACATACATGTACCCTGGCGCTTCCAACTCCACTCTAAGAGAGTGGCGCACCTCGAAAACTTCAAGTCCCATCACGGAATATTGGAAAGGTCTAAGCTATGCTTCCTGCTTCTGGAAGATCAGGTTTCTGAGCCCACCTGTCTTTGCATGGAGGCTGGAAAAGAGTTGGGCCTGGAGCTCTTGTAACTATATCGAGGCCATAAGTCCAAGCCTCCACACAGACGACGCTCGCAGGCACCCCCTACCCTTATCAAACCTGCAGTCCTCGGTATGGAGCCTTGGTTGTGAGCGCATGAGTCTGGTCGTCCCATGCGTTCGAACAGGGCAACTGCAAACAAAACTTTGCGAAACGTCAACAAAGCCAGTGCAGCGAGCCGCAGCCAGAAGATTCCGACTGCAACTCACAGGAAAAGGCCAACTGCCTTCTCGGCATTGAATTAAGTCTTTCTTCAAGCGCATGCCATGGGTGCCATACCTGAGCATCGAGTTTGCGCCCAGAGAGGGAAGAAGGCGACTCCCAGCCTCTCGGCCCCCCGGCCTTCCTTGGCAAGAACCTCCCTGGGCTCCTCCCTCAACTCACCGCAAACCTCAAAAGCGTCTTCTTCCCGCACTTCGCACTTCTTTGAACATTCTACTCTATAATTATTCTACTTCTTGCGCCGAGCAGTGCCCAGCCTTCTTGGCCTCATGACAGCAGTACGTGATCACAACGGTGATTGCACCAAAGGCCAAGGTCCATTCCTGGCCGTCAGCTCTTTCAGCGCATCTCCCAATGCCCAGGCTTTGAACCAAGGAGCCAAAATCACCATTACCAGGGACCCAGGTTCCATTAGCACCCCAGGGGTGAAGGTCCAGTCGTATGTGAAGTGTCGGCTCGCGCCCTGCATCGAGGGGGCTACTGCCCACATGCCCTAAGAGAGCGGAAGACGACAAAGGATCCTCAAACCAAACGTCGGCACGGCCTGCAAAATCGCAAACTCGCTGAGCATAAAGTAGTAGCCAACGTAGGCCATCAGCGTCATGCCTGTGAGCACCGCCGCTTGCTGGCTTGTTTCGCGGTGGCTCATCTACATCAAGAACACCGTGATGCAGCCGAGTCCACAACCCAACACAAAAACGAACCTATTGTCCAGCATTTGCCCAAGACGGTACGGATTTGCCTAGGCAGCGCCAGGGCAGAAGGAACCTGAGTGATGCGACAACATCTTCATCGCACCTGGTGTTAGCACGCGCCTCGCGAGTAGCCAGCAAAAACGCGGCACGCGCGCAGGTAAGCATGTGTGTCGACATGCACATGCTGGTCTGTCTGTGACACATGTCTGCTTGCAAGTGTGCGTTTGCGTTCTATATCTGCATCTCTTGTCAATAGGCCTGAATGACACACGCTTCATCCATCCAGCCATCCATCATCCATCCATCATCCATGTACAGTCATCTAGACTCCTGGACAAGGGAGCTGGAAGAGAAAGGCTGTCCCCAGCGCCAGCAATGCGGTCCCGGAGTGAAGCCAAAGGTAGTCGCCTCTCGTGGCATCGGATAGCTCTGTCCTAGTCCTGGTGCTTTTCGCAAGTCGAATGTACCAGACCCCCGACCCGACAGGCCCAAAAAGGCAGACTAGCTCTGACCAGGAAATCAAGGTGCCTGGCAACGTGTCTGGCAGCAGGGCTAACAGCAAGTAGCCCCAGCTCATGGTACCGACCTCGGAAACACAGTTATGAACCTCTGGCATCGGAACGAAGCACGGTGAAGAAGCTGGTTCTCGAAGTGGTCTGCGCACGCAACCCCAGAATGCCAGATCACATTGAGGTCTTATGTGGGAGCAAGCCGCAGAAGCACTACGCCGCTGCACTTTTGCGGCACATGCAAAGGGCCTAACAACATGACAACAGTGCGCGTGCCTGTGCGCCGCATGCAAAGCCGAGAACATGCAAGAGTGGTCTGATGCCGAGCTTCGAAGATGTCGCGCCAGCATTCCCGCGCCTCAGCGCACACATTCAGACTCTCGGAACCGGGCTAAAGCTTGAACCCTGCGCTTCAAGGGATGGGAGCCGCACTCGGATCAGTACGGAGCCCTCTGCTGCAGGACCCAGTGACAGAATCAACCTCGGTCGTGAGAGCATGAAACAGTTCCGAAACGGGACATGAGGTCTCCGAGCTGCGCGCCAAAGCCAAGATTGCCACACTACGCGTGGTTCCATGCCTTCGCCGTCGCCCCAGATGCCATTGAAGCTCTCTGAGATCCAGCAGATGTAAGGCAGTGTTCCTGCAGCGCCAAGTACGTCAACACATGCCTTCCTACATCGGCTTCCTGCGAGCGCAGAGCACCCGAGACAGTTCGCAGCAATGTCTTACCACTATAATGACAAGCCAGAGATGACTCAAACACTGCTTGAAACTAGTAGTGTTGATGATGGTGATGGCGACACTGCTGCTGCTGCTGCTGATGCTGCGAGCCAGGTGATCATGTTGGCGGCGACGGTGACGACGGAGAAGTCCGATCGCCGGAACTCTCCCGGCCTGCCGCCCCCTCCCCCCCCCCTCCGGTCCTCCACAGATGCATTTGAAGTCCACATAGGGCCGACCTCCAAAGCCACACTGGACCAGCACATCACCTTCCCACAGCCGGAGGAGAAGGATGATCAGCAAGATGAAGGCGAAGCCGGCCTCGCTACACTCAACGAGCTCCCCTTTTCTTTGTAGGGAGCGTAGGGAGCTAAGGCTATGCAAAGAAACAGATACAGTAGCCCTGTGTAGCCCTGTGATGCCACGATGCATGTCCCAAGGCGAGTAGACAAAGCGCGGCGAAACGAAGCTGCGCCATTGAGCTTGGGCCCGCAGCTCTACACAGCAAGCGAACTGTGGCTATAGCAGCTACAGGATGGCCTCAACAAAAGCCCTCGAGGCGCGGCTTTCACTTTGGCTCTCAGAGGTCCGACGGGTTTCACGGCTACGGCACGAGCCGTGGCCGGTGAGGTGAGACGCTGGCAAATTCGACTTCAACTTCTGACCTCACTGGTCAACCGCTTTGACAAACTAGCGCTGCGAAGCCGGAATCCGGACCGGGCAGATCCGGATCTAGGCAGAAATGACCACGCAACATGTGGGGCAGATGGCCACGGCGGCGTTGCCGGTGGTGTTGCCCTTGTCAGCTCGCAGCAAATCCTGCGTGAAGCATGAGGCTCTTTTAAAGTCTTTTGCGGATCTCTACTATCCACAACTCCTGTCCTGAGGATCCTCGATGGTGCGCTTCGCCTTGCAATCCTGGCATGTCACCTTACGACGAACACCAGCTGACAGCTGGAACTGGCTGGAACAGCTACAGTAGACTCCTAGATGCCCCGGGTTCCGGACGAAGATGTGCTCGGGCTTGCGGCCAGCCAACACAATCTCCGACATGAACCCGATGCGCCTTTGGGCCAGGCATGATGGTGATGGCCTGTGCTGTCTAGCTGCCGCACAGCAGCCGGAGCTTCGCGCCCTCAACCTGAGACGGGAAGCCCTTTTCCGCACCTCATTCTCCCCGTATTCGGACTCCCGCCTTCGTGCCCGCGAAAGTGGAAAAGATGGGCGTGCCCTTGGCAACCATCTCCCGCACCGCGCCGCCAGCTGGCTCCCCTACGTGCAACCAGGGGAGGTCCTCGTGTCCAGCGGTTCTCTTCTCAGCTCAGAGAAATGTCACAAAGGACCCCAATGAAGCAAGGAGGGGTCATTTCCGAGTTCAACCTTAGCCCACACCCTGTACCCCCCCCCCTACGCTTTTACAGCATTTTAA